AAAATTTTTTGACACCTAAATACGCTCCAAATCTCGATTAGAGCCGTATTTACGGAGATAAATCGATTTAAAGATTTTCATACCCGCCAGCTTGAAAATAATGGGTTGGGACATTTTTTCCGGGAAAAAAAATTGACACCTAAATACGCTCCGAATCTCGATTAGAGCCGTATTTACGGAGATAAATCGATTTAAAGATTTTCATACCCGCCAGCCTGAAAATAATGGGTTGAGACATTTTTTATTCGGGAAAAAAATTTGGACACCTAAATTCGTTCCAAATCTCGATTAGAGCCGTATTTACGGAGATAAATCGATTTAAAGATTTTCATACCCGCCAGCCTGAAAATAATGGGTTAGGACATTTTTTTTTGGGGAAAAATTTTTGACACCTAAATACGCTCCAAATCTCGATTAGAGCCGTATTTACGGAGATAAATCGATTTAAAGATTTTCATACCCGCCAGCCTGAAAATAATGGGTTAGGACATTTTTTTTCGGGTAAAAATTTTTGGCACCTAAATACGCTCCAAATCTCGATTAGAGCCGTATTTACGGAGATAAATCGATTTAAAGATTTTCATACCCACCAGCCTGAAAATAATGGGTTGAGACATTTTTTATTCGGGAAAAATTTTTTGACACCTAAATACGCTCCAAATCTCGATTAGAGCCGTATTTACGGAGATAAATCGATTTAAAGATTTTCATACCCGCCAGCTTGAAAATAATGGGTTGGGACATTTTTTCCGGGAAAAAAAAATTGACACCTAAATACGCTCCGAATCTCGATTAGAGCCGTATTTACGGAGATAAATCGATTTAAAGATTTTCATACCCGCCAGCCTGAAAATAATGGGTTGAGACATTTTTTATTCGGGAAAAAAATTTGGACACCTAAATTCGTTCCAAATCTCGATTAGAGCCGTATTTACGGAGATAAATCGATTTAAAGATTTTCATACCCGCCAGCCTGAAAATAATGGGTTAGGACATTTTTTTTTGGGGAAAAATTTTTGACACCTAAATACGCTCCAAATCTCGATTAGAGCCGTATTTACGGAGATAAATCGATTTAAAGATTTTCATACCCACCAGCCTGAAAATAATGGGTTGAGACATTTTTTTTCGGGAAAAAATTTTTGACACCTAAATACGCTCCAAATCTCGATTAGAGCCGTATTTACGGAGATAAATCGATTTAAAGATTTTCATACCCGCCAGCTTGAAAATAATGGGTTGGGACATTTTTTCCGGGAAAAAAAAATTGACACCTAAATACGCTCCGAATCTCGATTAGAGCCGTATTTACGGAGATAAATCGATTTAAAGATTTTCATACCCGCCAGCCTGAAAATAATGGGTTGAGACATTTTTTATTCGGGAAAAAAATTTGGACACCTAAATTCGTTCCAAATCTCGATTAGAGCCGTATTTACGGAGATAAATCGATTTAAAGATTTTCATACCCGCCAGCCTGAAAATAATGGGTTAGGACATTTTTTTTTGGGGAAAAATTTTTGACACCTAAATACGCTCCAAATCTCGATTAGAGCCGTATTTACGGAGATAAATCGATTTAAAGATTTTCATACCCGCCAGCCTGAAAATAATGGGTTGAGACATTTTTTATTCGGGAAAAAAATTTGGACACCTAAATTCGTTCCAAATCTCGATTAGAGCCGTATTTACGGAGATAAATCGATTTAAAGATTTTCATACCCGCCAGCCTGAAAATAATGGGTTAGGACATTTTTTTTTGGGGAAAAATTTTTGGCACCTAAATACGCTCCAAATCTCGATTAGAGCCGTATTTACGGAGATAAATCGATTTAAAGATTTTCATACCCGCCAGCTTGAAAATAATGGGTTGGGACATTTTTTCCGGGAAAAAAATTTTGACACCTAAATACGCTCCAAATCTCGATTAGAGCCGTATTTACGGAGATAAATCGATTTAAAGATTTTCATACCCGCCAGTCTGAAAATAATGGGTTGGGACATTTATTTTCCGGGAAAACATTTTTGACACCCAAATACGCTCCAAATCTCGGTTAGAGCCGTATTTACGGAGATAAATCGATTTAAAGATTTTCATACCCGCCAGCCTGAAAATAATGGGTTGGGACATTTTTTTTTCGGGAAAAAAAATTGACACCGAAATACGCTCCAAATCTCGATTAGAGCCGTATTTACGGAGATAAATCGATTTAAAGATTTTCATACCCGCCAGCCTGAAAATAATGGGTTGGGACATTTTTTTTTCGGGAAAAAAAATGACACCTAAATACGCTCCAAATCTCGATTAGAGCCGTATTTACGGAGATAAATCGATTTAAAGATTTTCATACCCGCCAGCCTAAAAATTTTTTTCCGGGAAAAAAAATTGAAACCTAAATACGCTCCAAATCTTGATCAGTTTTTCTTGAACCGATGGCCGCCATCTTGGATTTCAAAATGGCATCTGGCATCGATTTCCGGCCTCTACACGTCGTTTCCTTTCCGGGAATACTCATATTGTAGAGTATTTGACAGATTTTCTTGACCCGATGGCCACCATCTTGGATCCCAAAATGTCGTCTGGCATCGATTTCCGGCGTCTACACGTCGTCTTCTTCCAAAAATATACATATTGTAGGGTATTTGACAGTTTTTCTTGAACCTATGGTCACCATCTAGGATTACAAAATGGCATCTGACATCAATTTCCGGTCTCTACACGTCATTTTCTATCCGAAAATACCAATGTTGTTGGGTATTTGACAGTTTTTCTTGAACCGATGGCAGCCATCTTGGATTCCAAAATGGCGTCTGACATCGATTTTCGGCGTCTACACGTCGTTCCCTATCCGGAAATACCCATATTGTAGAGTATTTGACAGTTTTTATTGACCCGATAGTCCCCATCTTGGATTCCAAAATGGCGTCTGGCATCGATTTCTGGCCTCTACACGTCGTTCCCTTTCCGGAAATATCAATATTGTAGGGTATTTTACAGTTTTTCTTGAACCGATGGCCGCCATCTTGGATTCCAAAATGGCATCTGACATCGATTTCCGGCCTCTACACGTCATCCCTTTTCCGGTTCCTGTTCTCACATTGTACAGCAACATCTTATATGGACAAACTTTCGAGACATAACATATTAAGGAAGTTCATGTGCACACTAGCGCCGCGTAGTGTGAGAGTCCTGAAATAATATGACCATCATCCGAAAGGACTTAGTCACCTGAACAACTTTGCTGAAGACAGTAACCTTCTATATGGCCAGGTTCTCGAGATACAGCTTATACAGGAAATTCACTTGCACATTAGTGCCGCATAGTGAGCGTGTTCTGAACTAATATGACCATCATCCGAAAGGACTTGATCACATGCACAACTTTGCTGAAAACAGCAACTTTCTATATGGCCAGGCTCTCGAGATACAGTTTATATAGGAATTGCACATGCACACTAGCACTGCGTAGTGAGAGATTTCTGAACTAATATGGCCACCATTCGAAACGACTTGGTCACCTGAACAACTTTGCTGAAGACAGTAACATTCTATATGGCCAGGGTCACGAAATATTCTATGTTGGAAATATGATCCATATATTATAGCGCCCGTCATAAGTAACATAAAAGTGAAGCGCCTCTAGCGGCGTAGTTCCCAATTTAACCTGAATCCAATGGCACAGGCTTGTTGGTCTAACCCAGTACAGCAACTTTGTCCAAGACAGTATAGCTTTATGTATTGAAACAAATGAGATAATCCACTACAGCCCCCATTAGTGAAAATCCCATAAGCTGTGGGTATCCTTATTCGCGGATAGCCCGGCAATAAGGAATCCGGCAATAAGGATTCCTGACTGTAGATTAATTATTTTAAAGTTTCAATCAAATTCCCGGATATTTCACGGTTGCTTTAGACTCCCGGTTCCCCCGGTTCAGTGGACCCTTATTTTTACAAAAACCCCTTCCAAGATAAGTTTTTTGTTGAATTGAGAGATGGCCACTTCTCCTAGAGGGGGCTATTGTCGGGGGTAGAATGGTCTCTAATAACATACCCACATGTTTTGGAGACATTGGGTAGCCATTCTCATTTTGCTCGATCAGCATGATCGCTAATGAATTTACCATAAATTTCTGAAAATTTTGATATGCTCTGGTTGAAATTTTATTCCGGGACAGTGGATGGGTCATTCAGTTCTAAGAAAAGCCAATAACTATGCTGAGCATTGTTCGGTTCTATCTTAATGCCTGAGCTTCTTACAAAGCATGTACAAGATGTCAGTAAGTTTCACAATGACATTAAACATTGAAATGGGGTCAAGGATGAAACATCGATATGAGGGTTCAGAACTATAGAAGATGAATCGTGGCACCGTTAAAACCAATTTCGTGGAATTATTCAACGGAAAACTAAAAGCTCAAATGATTTGATGAAGTTTAATGAAAAATAGGCTAATCGTTAAAGAATTATGAAATGATAAATTTCGCATAGCAAACTCCTCAAAGTCTAAATCTTCAACAACGACAACCCAAAAAGAAATAGTCACGGGTGCAGGCCAGGTTAACAGATTACGATACGTTCCCGAAATAGACCGCACCTTTTGAAGTGAACATAAATGTTCTCTACCTCCCTCCCTCCTCTGTCCCATCCGCACTGTATATGTGCGGGAAAAATCTCAAAAGTTACGACTTCATTTTATTTTATTGCCGAATGTCATCTTTTTAATTGACGATATAGAAGTGCCGTAAAATCCCGCTCTCCGTTATATTCCCATCCTATTCCACCTCGTAGGAATACACTTTCTCGCATTTGTATGACATGGGGAGCCGACTTTTCCGAGCGAGCAGTCGCAGTCTCGTCAGATTTTCATGGAAATCACTTAAATCAGGCATTTTGTTGCCCGCTTGGGTCTTTTTGGTTATTTTTGGAGAAAACAAAAACAGGAAACTCGGTTACAATGTATGGTTTGAACTTACCTTGTCGAATTTGTCTTCCATTTCAGAACTGCTGCTCCAACAGTTACCTGCGCGATCGGTTGCACCAGCTCAGCAAGGACAGCGATCGCTACTCTCCAATCACCGGTAAGTAATAGGGCCCTATTCAGAAACACAAACAGAGAGAGAGAGAGGAAAAAAACAATTTTCATCATCCGTCATTCAAATCAGAAGGGAAAGTTCATCGCATTTAGCCAACTCATCGCCATTACAAGACTAGGTAAATGTAGTATGCCATGCCGCGACACGCCACGCGAGCTGCTACTTGACATTTTGCATCATTTGAATTTGCTGCAAATCGTGAGAATCGCTCATTTCCTGATGGATTTACCTTACCCTGAATAAAACGCGGTGGTTGTGAGACCGAAACGGTTTGAGAAAGTAGAGAATATCGTCACTTAATGATGTGCCAACAGACCAGCAGAAGATCTCAGCTCAGAGCCTATACGATGATGACGGTTGCCATTGGTGATCGTTCTCAACGTGATGCCATCAAACTTAACCCGCACCACCGAGAGAGAGAGAGAGGGGAGCTGACGAGCGCAGTGCGAGTTGATTTTGTTCCAAATTAGAAAATTAGGAATTCATCCGTGATTTGATTTATATCGGTCGTTTTTCTGTGTGATCTTGCCTGTGATTTGTATGCGGTTTATTATTCTTGAAAATGCGAATAATTGGATTAGTTACAACCTATGATTTCGGGTAGAAATGACCTCACAAGAGATATTTTTGAGTATATAAATTAAATACGGGTTCTATTTATACTCTAGTTTCCCTCTTTTCTATACGAGCTAGGAAATCTTCCCCATTTGAGTAACGGCTAAAACATAACCCTACATCATACATGTTTAGTAATAATTCACCAAAAATAAAACAATAACAACTCGCAACCGTCCAAAAGATTCCCAAGTCTGATTATAGTTCTAAATCGGTCTGAAAAGTATCTATACCCATCTCTCTCTTCCCATCCCTTTGCAGGCCACACACCATCGAGCGCGGCCAATGGGTCGAGCTTGGATTGTCTGAACCTGATCGTGCAAAGTATTACCAACGTGACAACGGCGGCCGTGGCGGCGGCGTCTACGGTAAACGGAGTACCTTCTTCTATTGGCCACCACCATAGCGCTCCGCTAAACCAAATCTCGTTCGTGTCTCCGTCGTCGTCGTCGTCGTCATCATCCTCATCCTCCTCGTCGTCATCGGCGGCTTCAGTGTCCCCGTTGCCCCCACCGCCTCCCTTGGCTACTGCGGTTCCACCATCAACAACAACAGCAATCCGGACGACGACATCGTTACCTTAGAAACCGACCGCAGTCTTCTGTGCGTCAAACACATGCGTGCATGTAGATAAATGCCATAGTTCAAATAAGTGCAATAATATTAAATCTCTCGTTTGCTATCCTGCCTCGCGCCCTTACTGCTCTTAGGATGGGGACCGGATCCTCACTAATTAATTGTAAATATTCGCTACGTTGAGAATAAACAATGCTTTTCTTGTGTTTTTGGCGACCGCGCATAAGTCATTTGCGAGTTGGCAGTAGCTAGCAGAAAAAGGGCGCAGACACATTTTAGAAATTCAAAAGTGAAAGGTAAAACGAAAAATTACGCGTGTAGTTTAGTTTTCTTCGGTAGGAGCTCTAGGTTAGGTTTTATTAGTGCTCGGTTTAGTAACTGCAGCAAACATCAGTATAGCTTTTTCGAGTCATTAGGATGCCAAAGACTACTTGGTAGGAATTCGGACTATTTGCAGAATGATTTCACCAGAAGAAGCGTAGAACCAATAGAATGCAGTTTGGTGAACATTACTGAAACATATTTTTACTAAAGTGGAAACAAAATACAATCGTATAAATAAATTTATTTTTAAACATCAAATGAGTTAATTTACTTTTTCCCAAATGAACAATTGTGAAACTAGTACGGACGGGTTATGGAACGAAACAATGGAGACGCTTGGTGTTTGATCCGAAGGATCGATATCTAGCTTGAGGCTGTCCGCATTCAACGTGGACACATTTTGAGAGGTTTTAGACACTCATCTTCGCCAGCGTTGACAACCATCCATAGGTAGATTTTGTTTTTAATTTGCATAGACGGTGGAAATTTGCCATTGTTGATCAAAGAGTGCTGGAAGCGAAAAAATTTCCTCCCGTCAAATTTTTGACCACAAACCACAAACCGGATTACCAACCGGGGGAAACTAACGATTTTAAATTGGCTTACTACTTGACTAGCGTATTGGTCCCAAGCAAATCGATGAACGTACCCCATTTTAGTCGAATTTCTAGTACCACACTATTAGCGAATTCGTTTATTATTCAGTTCCAACCTGGATCGGGTATCAGGATTGGGTCTGCTTGTTTTCTGACAAACGTCAGTTTGCTCGTTTGTTTTTGAAACCTAGCTCAGGTTGAGGTTCGCACTGACAAAAAGTTCGGTTTCGCACTGGGTTGGAACTGGTTCCAACCCCGATAATAAACGAATTCGCTATATGTTTGTTTTGATTAGCTATGAAAGTTTGACAGATAAAATAACGGGTTCGTGGATTTTCCTATGTTTCGAGGGGTGCATCGATTAGCTTGGGACCAAAGAGAGTACCAGAGCTGAGTCAAATGGTTGAGCACGTTTCTTCGGGACCTTCTGGTCTTAGAGTTACCTCTATGGGATTACTCCGTGAAGCGAACCGTTTACAATTGCGACTTCCCCTCTAAAACATCAAGCTAGCTTGTTGGGTTCACTTGGCCAGATTTGGTGAATCCGTTCCATTTTATCCTTTATAATATTTTCATACTTAATTCCCGAGTACTAGTACTAGTGACACTACAAACATTTCGAACTCATTAAATACGCGTCAATCAAGCAATGCAGCTTGATTGAAAGTTCCAGTACATTAATAATGATTCCCACATTGAAAGCGGGGTTTATCGTATACGAAAATAGCGTCGGAATGCTTGCGTTCTTGAAATGGGCTTTTGGAGTTGCGATAGAGCTGTCACTTTCTAACCTCCGGATTTAAACTTCTTGCAATTATTTATATGGGCTACAAAATGGTGAGTGACAATCTGGAAGGAGCGATATACCTAGCTCCGGTCCTCACAAGTTCCTACCTCACGGCTTCACGAGTCATATGATCACAAAAGACTGCCAGCTGAAACATGGACACAGCTGGTTTCCGTAGCCTGGGCAATGTTGTCAATCCGACAATAGCAGAGTGAGGAGGTGCGACGCGAACACTGGCGCGGTAACCATAGCACGGTGATAGAGGAAATGCTTCGCCAACCCGGGCGTCTGTTCACCATGGAGGTGCGGTTCAAACAGCGTCTGACTGGCATCCAGCGGCTGAATAAGAAATGCTCTTCCCCGGAAGCTACACCTAAGATGGCAGCCCCATCACGGCGGATAGGAGACCTTAGGCCAACCACCTACTGTGTCTGAAACCTTTACAATTGTTACAGAAACCAACAGAGAAAGACATCGAACTGATATAACGGCAACGACTTTTAGCGCAAAACAACGGACACGAATTGGATCATGGAATGTATTGACGTTAGCCCAGCAGGGTAAACTGGCACAACTTGCCAACGAGGCGCGACGCATGAAGCTAGAAATCCTGGGACTGAGTGAAGTTCGTTGGCCAAACTTTGGAGAACACAAACTGCCGTCGGGACAGGTACTACTATACTCTGGTATTCGAGGTGAAAACGCTCCCCGCCATCGTGGAGTTGGTCTCCTACTTAGCGTTCAGGCAAGTGCTACGCTCATCAAGTGGGAGCCTGTTAATGAGAGGATAATCGTTGCCAGATTTAGAACGCGGGTTCGTAGCCTTACCATAATCCAATGTTATGCGCCAACCGATGCTGCCGAGCTACAGGACAAGAAGAATTTTTACAGTCAACTGAATGCCGTCGTGGATAAGGTTCCAAAGGGTGACATCAAGATCTACACTGGCGACTTCAATGCGAAGATCGGCTCCGACAACACGGACTATGGGCGTGTCATGAGGCGCCATGGTCTCGGCGAAATGAGCGAGAACGGCGAGCTGTTTGCAGAATTTTGTGGCAATAACGACATGGTGATCGGGGGCTCGCTCTTCCCCCATCGGCCAGTGCACAAAGTCACGTGGGTTTCCCGTGATGGACATACCGAAAATCAGATCGACCACATCTGCATCAGCCGAAAATGGAGACGGAGCCTTCTTGATGTCCGGAATAAACGCAGCGCCGACATCGCGTCTGACCATCACCTTCTAATCGGTGAAATCCGCCTACGCATGGCGCGGATCCAGCGACGGAAGGAGAAACTCGGGCGGCGGTTCAACACACGCCGACTTGAAGATCCAGCGGTAAAAAGGTCTTTTGTTGAAGAACTTGAGACTCGAGCTGCGGACGTTCCAGAAGGTGGCAGCGTAGAAGAACAATGGACGGCCATCAAGAATGCCTTTATAGAAACAAGCGAGAACAACTTGGGTGAGCTGCGCACCCAGAGGAAAGATTGAGGAGCGTAGAGAAGCAAAAGCCGCGATAGAGCGGGCGAGAACCAGAGGAGCCAAGAACGAAGCCCATCAACGGTACTTGGCTCTAGAGAAGGAAGTCAAGCGCTCTTGCAGACGGGACAAGCGAGCGTGGGTGAACTCCCTGGCCGACCAAGGGGAGAAAGTCGCAAACACTGGCGATATACGCCTCCTCTACGATATCTCACGACGCCTGAGTGGAGCAAGGATGAACCCGAGGATGCCAGTGAAGGACACGACTGGACAATTGCTTACCGACCCCACTGACCAGCTAAACGCTGGTTTGAGCACTTCGAACAACTTCTTCAAGTTTCGACGGCCAACCAGCCATCAACATCTCGGCATGATCCGCCTAGGGTGCGGCGCATCACTCGCGTAAATTCCGAGGCCCCATCACTGTAGGAGATTGAAACAGCTATCCGAAGCATGAAATCCAACAAAGCTCCAGGGGTCGATCGCATATCAGCAGAGATGCTCAATGCTGACCCCATGCTATCCGCACAAATGTTGCATCAACTATTCTGTAATATCTGGGACACCGCGACTTTTCCGGCCGACTGGATGCAGGGCATCTTAGTGAAGGTCTCAAAGAAGAGGGATCTGACTGTGTGCGACAATTGGCGAGGCATCATGTTACTGTGTATTGTTCTCAAAGTTCTGTGCAAAGTTATCCTGAATCGGATACAGGAGAAGATCGACGCGACTCTCCGACGGCAGCAGGCAGGATTCCGGGCCGGAAGATCTTGTGTGGACCATATTGTCACGCTTCGCATCATCCTGGAGCAGGTCAATGAATTCCAAGAGTCCCTTTATTTGGTATTCATTGACTACGAAAAAGCTTTCGACCGTCTCAATCACGAGAATCTGTGGGGCGCCCTGAGACGCAAGGGAGTCCTGGATAAAATCTTTCACGTGCAGAGTTCTGCATAACGGAGCCTTGTCCGACCCTATCCGGGTAGTCGCTGGTGTGAGACAAGGATGTATACTATCACCGCTACTGTTTCTCATCGTAATCGACGAGATCATGGTAGGTGCAATTGACCGTGTACCGAACCGTGGGCTGCTTTGGCAACCTATCACCATGGAGCATCTCAACGACTTCGATTTGGCTGATGATGTTGCTCTACTAGCACAACGGCGCTCTGATATGCAGAGTAAGCTCAATGACCTAGCCGAACGCTCCTCTGCAAATCGTTGGATGTCAACACGGGCAACCCTTCCAACTTTACGGTACCAGGGCAAGCACTGGAGAAGGTCGAAAGTTTCCAATATCTTGGCAGTCAAATAGCGTCGGACGGCGGGACCAAGAGCGACATAGGTGCACGAATCAAGAAGGCTAAGGCTGCCTTTGCGAGTTTACGGAACGTAACCGTGACAACCAGATAAGTCAACGCACCAAAATCCGAAATCTGTGTTGTTATACGCCAGCGAGACGTGGTGTGTATCAGCGGAGAACACTCAAAAGTTGCAGGTCTTCATCAACCGATGCCTGCGGTATATAATTCGTGCCTGGTGGCCTCACAACTGGATCTCGAATGCCGAGCTCCATCGTCGATGTCATCAGAAGCCGATAGCAACAGAAATTCGAGAGCGAAAGTGGAGGTGGGTCGGCCACATACTTCGACGGGGCGGAAACGAAATCTGCAAGCAAGCGCTGGATTGGAATCCAGCAGGACATCGCAGCAGAGGCAGACCCAGGGGCTCATGGCGGCGGAGCCTCAATAAGGAAATTAAGCAAGTCGATAGGAATCTGACCTGGGCCCAGGTCAAGGCAAAAGCGAGCAGCCGCCCAGGATGGAAGTCTTTCACGTTGGCCCTTTGCACCGCTGGTGGTGCACAGGACCCTTAAGTAAGTAAATTATTTATATTAAAGATAGTTGCAGAAGGATTACATCTATAATGCCACTGTCAGCCAGTGGGTAGTTAGATTGTAAATACACACACGGTGGGCATTTGCCATTACACTAATACTCGATTGAGTACAAGACACTGAAGAAGTCTGCGCATTCCTCTGATCCTACCCTAAATGTAGTTAATACTGAGGCTCAGTTTTAGCAAAATCAGCAATCAAATAATATTTCGACAGTGAGCATGCATAATGGCCTATACGTGATGATCGATTCTCTTCATCGATTTTCTCTTTGCATTGCTACAGCTAAGCGAAACAATTTTGTAGAATTTATTCAATATAGATTTGTAACAGGTTGCATTGGCTATCAAAACCAACAGCAAACGCACCGACAAACAGTGTCTGTTTTT